CTAGGTACCCGTTAACGAGTTACTTTAGCTGGGAGGCTGTTACGACGTTTTAATTGTGCAGAATGATACAAAGGCCACTCAGCGGTCGCAGGAATGAGGATAAGGCTAAGGATGGAGTGTGCGTGGTAGCGGGATAGAAAAAAACAACTGTTTTTCTAAGATTTGAACGATTTACGGTTAATCACCTTACGAGGTGTCTAATGTTTGGGGAACCTGACTATTATATCTCAGTTATGAATCTCATTTAAAGTTAATATCATTGAAATTCACATCCCGTTATTGTCGATACACGTCGCACTGACAAAATCGATAATGAGGCTGTTGAATGTAAGAAAAATCGAGTTGTGCACGTTATAATCGAAGTGAAGAATGAATTGTATTTCTAAATTTATTGATTTTAGATTTGATCGCACACATGAGTGGACTTGCTCACCACTGGTGAAAATTTTGGTTCCTGTCGTGTAATTTGAATACTGCATGGCTTGATACGAGTCCATCGAGCGCCTTATTCATAGGGATGAACGACTTGAAGATATCCCGCGATCGCTTACGCTCCTGCTGTTAGTTTGACCGCAGCCCATATCCTCGGTATCCCGCCACGCCATGTAAGGCACTTCTAATGAGATCGCATACGGCATTTCGCCCGGTTTCGGTTGCTTTTTGTCGTGACGCCCTTATTTATGTGGAGTTATGCGTCTGAATACATGGAACGGCTTAGCGGCATTTGACAATAAGATAAAACTTAGTTATAGTTAGTTATAATGCGGGCTCTCTGCATTAGAAACATATTTTAAAGGTTATTCTATCGGAATGAATAGTGCATGAGCAAAATATGAACCGTTTTTTTTTTTAATTGCCCTTGTAGGCAGACGAGCATACGGCCCACCTGATGGTGAGTGGTTACCGTCGCCCATGGACTTCAGCAATGCCAGGGGCAGAGCCAAGACGCTGCCTACCGCTTAATACTCTCCACAAGCCTCGTTTGAAGAAGAACATGTCATAGCGCTGGGGAAACACCGTGGAAGGGAGCTCATTCCATAGCCGGATGGTACGTGGCAAAAAAGATCTCTGGAAACGCACTGTGGATGACCGCAGTGGCTCCAGGTATTTTTTTATATTTTTTATATTTTGAAAGTGGTGTAAGTCCATTTTCTTTTGTTTCGAGAGAATTAAAGGTTACTATATTTGTTGATTTAAAAATACAGGCAAATCATATGAGGTCTGGCTATGCCACCCACCTCAGTCAATTGGACTTACACCACTTTCATAATCGATGACTATGCAATTTCGTTTACCGACCGATTTTTAGTTGTTGTTAAGGGACTTTTTTTGAGAAATTAAACACGGACAAGTTATATATAAAAAATTACATTAAATTAAGCATGAATTACGTGATAGCTCATTTTTCTCAAAAATGGACTTACACCACTTTCAAAATAAACGGTCCATATATGAAAACGAGCCGAATCAATGTTACGTGCAGTTTGAACGATGGGATGGCGTTACTTCGATGTAATTTGTACATTAATTAAAGCAAGCGACGACATTCGAAAAAAATACCAGGAAAAATAACAGTTGAAAGGAATTATGGCTGGAAACGGAAAGAATTTGGAACAATTAAGTAAGAAGAAACCTGTTCTGCGTTAAGTTAAGGGAATTTAGTCGCAGTAGGCACATCATCTTTTAAATTGATATATTCATGAAAGTTTTTTTATGTTTTTTTTTCTTTTTTTCATCGAGAGAAGGCTTACTGCATGCCCGGGAGTCATTCCAGTTTCACCAGGACAGAGGAATCCTGTCGTATTTCACTGGCTTTAGAAATTATACAATCAAGAAACAGTAAAACAATTAACGTTTTCCCAGGATAACAGGTTTGCTTGCGTCATTATCTAATCCATAAACTTACCAGTCGCTTTGTAGATCCGTTAGTAAGTGACGTCACAAACTAGTACAATGTGGTAGTTATTACATCCGGATATGATATCCGGAGATATATCCGGCGTAATCCGGTAATCCTACGTATATAGCCAGGGCATATCTATGGACGAATTTTGATCCAAATACTTTCAGCGATGTGCGTGATTGATTAAAAGACATCCAAATAAACAAATATTCACGTTTACAATATTAAATGCTTATTGATTTAAGGTTGATCTATATATATAAAAATGAATTGCTGTTCGTTAGTCTCGCTAAAACTCGAAAACGGCTGGACCGATTTGGCTGATTTTAGTCTTGAATTATTTGTGGAAGTCCAGAGAAGGTTTACAAGGTAGATAAATGTGATTAAATAAAAATATCGATTTTCCTTTGATGTGTCCCCCATCGGAGGGATTCCTTTTGTTTGTTTTAAGTATATTTTATACAAAAGTTTAGATCTTTTATTTATCTATTGAGGCGCTACGAAGTTTGCCGGGTCAGCTAGTTCTAAATAAAAGACTAGTGCTAATTAACCAATGTATTTTTCAGTTTGAGTTATTGTTTAATAACCAAGATAATTCTATTACAATCTTTATTGATAAACACTTACAGATTAGTCATTAGCTTGTATGAGTATGCGCAAAAATAATAAAAAATTCGAGATAAGACAAAACTGTTACTATTTATAGCAAGGCTCAGCAATGCAGATCTGTTCCTTCCCACTATATCTATTTTGTCTGTTTGTCTTACGCTTATCTTGTAATGTAATGTGTGACAGTAGCTTTGATAGAATAAAATAAATAGACCAAAACTTGTATGGCGCTAACGACCATAGGTAATACACGTAAATTTGTTATAGATAAGCAACTCAAGCACTCAACAAAAATGTTTACGGGCGTTAGCCACTAGATGGCTTCGCTTTGATTAGTTTCTCATTTCTCCTGTAAATGGCAGTAACAAATTAACTATTCTATATTTCATTTTTAATTGGAAAATTGATAAAATTTAATCAATTTGTCTAACAAATAAAGACTTGTATGATTTCTAATTTTTTTTATTTTCTATGTTTAGTTATACAATAATTAAATGCCTTAACTTTAACAACATATAAGTTTAGGGGTATCCGCTACAAGATGTCGATAGTTTCCATGCAAAAAAATATTTATATCAATTATCGCACTTTCAGGGCCCTGTTATCGACATTTCCAAAATAATCTTGCACATTATACAAGTATATGTACAAATCTCTTCGGGCCGCTTGTATACGGAACTAAATAACCCTCGGTTGGATCTTTCCCTTCGTAAATTTCTTTGTATATATTATTATGTCGGCGCAACGTCACTATTTAGTTAACTAAAAATAGTTAAAGTTAACTGTTTCCTTAATGTTACGCATGTCAGCAGTTGTGTAAGACGGTATTCAAGAGAATTCATGACTAAGCTACACTCGCTTTCTATTATAAATACGAGTGACTATTGTCGTACAAAACATTCCGACTCGAGCACCCGACCGAGGCGAAGCTCTCCGCTGTTATCTTTTTACACTTGAAATGTAATTAATGGTATTCGTTGGAGTAGTGAGTCTCAATTACTTTCACTATGGAAGGCAATGATAATGACGAAGAAAATGGCGTCAGCAACGTTGAACTCATAATTTTAAAAAACACCATAGAAGCAGCCAGCTCCATCATATATTATAATTTAATTTGTAATATAATATTTGGAATAGAAATGGCCCTAAGTTTCTCTCCGATTCTTTTTAGTGGTGAAATTTTACGCCAAATCGTTAATAATGCCCAAACTATATTTTGTACCGATGCAATAAAAATATAATTTCTGTAAGTGACAATTTATATGGTTATTCATTATTTTTATGTCGTAAATGTAATGTCACAACAATGGCAACCACTTGTTTAACATCATCTTTGTTAGCTCTTTCTAATCTGGCTCCAACCAATTCGCGGGATATTACTATTAGGACAAAACCCTTCTGTACATACTCTGTGACCAGTACACCTTACGCAGCATAAGATATACAGTCTTCAGAGAGTACATTATTTCCCTCTAGGAGGTCAATAAAATGTATTTATGGAAAATAGTACTATACTGGTAGTAGAATGTACTATACTAGATTTAGGGACGAATAAAGAAGTCTAAGCGAAGACCGTTGCTCATATAGTTCTTTCACTTAATAATGGTGGTTTTATTTCTTTCGGAATTTTGATATGAAAGCACAGTGTTAATGTTGCGGATGAAGGAGATATTTGCGCGTCCGCTGGCTAAACTAATAAAAACACTGCATTATCATTTAAAGAAACGACGAGACTGTGACTCATGTGATGCTTCCTGGATTGATGTAATGAGAATAAATTACACGCGTTTTATATCAATATGTGAACAGCTTATTTCGTTTAGAGAAAATTTCAAAATGTGTACAGATAATTACACGGCCGACGTGACACTGAATGCTTATAGTGACTTGATAGCTGAGACGAAAACTTCAACGGCTTAATTCAGTTAAGAATCGAAATATCCAAACTGGAATGGATACGGTTACAGGGTGAATAGGACAGAATCGCGATCGGAGCTCATGGACTATACTGCCACACGACTTGAGTCATAGATGCATAAATTATATTGGTATAAAGGATAATCCAGCTTCAGCAGAAAATGCTTCAAATGCTATAGAGTGCTCTAACATCGTCTCTAATAGGAAATAGCAGTAGAGGAATCAAGGTAGGAAGATGCGGTTAGTATACTACGGTTACTGCGGCTAGTAGCACTACCCTTTATGGTATTTTCTGAGCACTACAACATTCAGTAAGTGTTTATAAGAGTCCTCAATCAGGCAAAGGCTTGACTGTTCTCTTAACATTACTAATGATGAGCGATGGTGACCATTCACTTCGGTCAGTTAGCGATTGTTTCTGGACAATTCATACACACCCTGTATCTATAAACCAAACGAAAAAAAAGCCCATGGTATATAACACCAAATACTACTTTTAAAATCAGTTATCAGCCCGCAGCTGTTATCATGGACACGCTATCAGTCATGATAATTCAGTTGACATCAGAAATCCACGGGAAACGGACATGTGAGACAGTATGTCGAAGAAAATATCCGAACCGATTATTCTTCATGAGATCAGAGTGGACGGGAAAAAGAAAAGGCACTCGGAGTACGCCTTGCCCCCGAAAGGTGCGTCCCAAGGCCCAGGAAAAGTTTCAGGGAGTGAATTTGTTTATGTGAATTCTGCTTATGTCGGGAGCACTCAAAGCGTTAACCAAAGGCTCCCAGAACCACCAACAAGGTAATTAGTTCATTATGTAATTACCTCTTCAACTAGGCCATTGATAATTGCATTGAGTCTAGTAGTTCAATGGTATTGTCATAATGGCAGTCCTACCCTTCAAAGTAGAATGCATGAGTACTTCGTCGCAGAAATAAATAGGATTATGTTGCCCCCGTGCGAGGTCACAATACTGCGCACCGGTCAGTATGCAAGTTAAGTTTGTGGGTTTGATGTTTACCACACCATGTTGTTCCATTTTGTGCGGTCATCCATATTGGCAATGGAGATATATCGGTATATTTATCAGGTATTCTTTTGTAGCTCCAAAAACCTTTTCGAATTTTGGAAATAAATGTTCATTATATGTACCTTGATAAATGTTAATGCAAAAATAGCAACCGTGTCCGGTTATTAGCTTAGCGACAATTACGATAGTTTTGTATTAATCTGAAATAACATATTAATTAATCTTGTGACGTGACTGATTAGAATTTTTCCTTCGTTAATTTACCTTTGAATTATTCTAGGTCACTATTTTCTTGGAACTATTTCCTAGTGGGAAAGCCTGCCATGAATGTTTGCAACTTGGGACATGGCGTCTGAATATTATATAATAATATTACTAGAACGACTACTGTTTCGATTCAGACTTTATTATAAACAAAATATATCCACGGAACACCATTATCTGCATCCTTTGCAGCAGCAAATAGATTCTAATGCGTTCGAAAGAGACAAAATTTATGTCAAATGCAAACGTAGGCAAACGTTCCAGCTGCATACTTTGAATTAACTTTTACGCTATCGAGAACGTTAAAACTTGCACTAAGCACACAGAGGCAAATCGCAAGTTTTGAGATTATTCAACAACCCACCAGCTAGATAAACTTGGAAGACAAATTTAGAAACTAAATCCTGCTCTCGCTAATTAGAGAGATCTTAAAACACATAACACTCAAGAATGAAATGAAATTTCTCAAGATTAAATTTATATAATTAATTAGGAATATGTCAAGGAAATTGTAGTTTGAACAGCTCTAGGGATAACACTAAATACATACCATAACCCTAAGATTATGATATACATATACAGTCAAACCTGGGTAAGTGAGAACTGGATAAGTGAGAAAACTCTATAAGTGAGAGTAATAGCCAGGAACCGTCATTTTAAGCTCCCAAAACCTCTATTAGCGAGAAACAGAAACCTCTGTAAGAGAGAGTCGTTTTTCCCTCATGGACCTCCGTAAGTGATACTGCTACTTATCTATACCTCTATAAGCGACAGTCGAGCTTTATTTATTTATATTATTTAGGAGGAACAAGTGAAAAAACTAATTACAAATTTAACATCTGCTATTTTATGACTCAGTCTTAACTTTTGCGGAACTTCCTTCCATTGTTTTTGTATTCTTTTCTCGTCAATATTGAACCTATTCTATTTCGTGGAACTAAATAACGTTGTTATTTTATCGCATTCTTTTCGAATGGACGCGTGCGCCTGTGTACCGTCCTGTTTGTCGGACTTACTCAGTTTATCGTTAATCAATTGCGTCAAATCATGTCAAAACGGAAAATTAAAGTACTGTCATTAATGATAAACTTAAAATAGTGAATGCGTTTGAATCCGGAAAATCGCGAAATAAAATTCAGACGGAGCATTAGCGAGAAACTCGGGTTAGTGAGAAACCTCTTTAAGCGAGAATGAGATTGTGCTCCCTTGAACTCTCGCTTATCCAGGTTTGACTGTATATCATAATCTGGAGATCTATCTTAAGATGATATTAAGGAAACCAATGATTTTTCTCATTTCAAATTTTGGCAATTTCATTATTTATTTATTTTGTGCTTATAATCCCAAACTAACAGAATATTAAGCAAAATTTCTTATAGCTTTGTTTAATACACTATTATTTGAAAAATGTATCTTAATTTGAAAATGTAAAAATGTATTCAAAAAATGTATTTTTGATATTTTTCAAGTGTTTGCTTATCGCTAAGTCATCGTTATTTTTATCGATACCGCAAACAGTTTCCTTTTCTTAAGGACTGTGAATAAGATACTTGGTTTTTTTTGGCCAATTCACATTACAACTGTCAAACAATAGAATTTGAAATTTCATGTCATGCTCATGTCTTAATGTGGGCAGCAGCATTAGTTTTGTGATATCTATCCGTCTCTAGTAACCAGATGGATCGTGAGCTCTGAATTATAAATAAACAAACTATTACCGTGATGAATTCGTGACTTCGGACGTTAGAAAACTAATTAATCAGGACGATTATTGATATTTTTTTGGTTACAAAACAGTTTTAGTAATTAAACATGTTATTTATTGGATTATGTATGTAAGCCTTGAATGATATTTTTTTTTATTTTATGGCTTAGAAGGGCGGACGAGCTCACAGCCCACCTGGTGTTAAGTGGTTACTGGAGCCCATGGACATCTACAACGTAAATGCGCCACCCACCTTGAGATATAAGTTCTAAGATCTCAGTATAGTTACAACGGCTGCCCCATCCTTCAAACCGAAACGCATTACTGCTTCACGGCAGAAATAGGCAGGGCGATGGTACCTACCTGCGCGGACTCACAAGAGGTCCTACCACCAGTAAGACAATAATCAAATAATAATAAGTAAGACAATAATAGCTACATAATATTCAAAACTTGTGACAAACACTACGCACCAGATGAATAGCATCTTAAATTAAATTACAGGGACTCTGAGAAGCTGGAAGCACAGATAGATGGACCTGTGAATGCCAATACCTAAACTATGAATGGTCACGGCTAGAAGCTAACGTTGACCTTGTCATTAGAGGGTAAATATTGATTAACGGTGCTTTTAGGTACCACAAGCGCCGGTCACCGTCCTCGTCGAACCAGTCGCTGGCGACGAAGGGCTCGACGAGTAAATTAACCCTCAGACACTGAGTTTCTCGCCGGATCTTCTCAGTGGTTCGCGTTTCCGATCCGTTGGTAGATTCTGCGAAGCACTGCTCTTGCTAGGGTCAGTGTTAGCAACACTCCGGTTTGAGCCCCGTGAGCTCACCTACTAGTTAAGGTTACGCTGAAATAACCTCTCAAGGCTATCAGCTTAGGTAGGAAAAAAAAAGTAAGCAAAACCGTTATTAATGTGCCAGGAAATTTAGTTGAGAACGTAATTAAATTAAAACTATTTTTACCGATTAATTTCACGGTTTGCCATGGTCATTATGTTTTGCTTTGAATACTTTAGTTTTCGTGATTCCTGGTGACTAAGGTCAAGAAGGATGCCTCATAAAAACGTATATTAAACCGTAAATAGTAATTTAAATGACGTCTGCTACCCGCGGGAAATAAAGAAAGTAATAAAATACTTGAACTCATTTTCAATTTTAATAATCGTGTTAACAAGCAATATTGTTTCATTAAACTTATACTAAATTGGAGTTATCAGTGAAAATAATCTAATATTTCATAAATCTTAATGATAAAAGGCCAAATATTTTGTAAATAAATAAATAAAAGTAAAAGCAATGAACTCTAATTCAGTACAATACGCCGATAATCTACTTTCCTAAGGCGGACAACCTATAATCTGATGCTAACATCATCTACCTCATTATATGATAAACAATGATAACAAAAACGAAAATAGATAAACGGATCTAAAGATGACAGCTGTCAGACTGACAGATGACACGCGAGGACATTTCTGTACATTTTTGGGAGTGATTGCAGTTAGCTCTGCCGGTGGTTTAGTCCGAGCTTTTGGAGGTTATAATGAATATCGAATAATCGTTTGGAGTGGAGACGCTTGGTACAGCAGGGCGTGCATGTCTTTGAAAACGACAGGAGGCGCGAACTGGACGACAGACGAAATAAATTGAAAAATAGACCACCTTCCACCATTTTTTACAACTTCGTGGGTGGTGTTCTTACGTGTAGCTTCTGTTTGCGCACGTTTAAGAACAAGATAGGCTACTGTAGCCATATTAGAGCGCATGAGAGGCGCGGACATTAGCTTTTAAGTTATTAAACTGAAAAATTTGGTCGCCGTGGTCGAAACCGGCTTGGAACCATGATGATGATGAATGAATATCGCCGTTACCGTCTGTCGCGACACAATCATAAAAACAATAACATTAAGTTGCTATTTCCTGTGGGGGACACGCGAGATATAGAAAGAGCGATGTTTCTAAAACTTCTCGAAATCTCGTCATTTACTGGTGGTAGGACCTCTTGTGAGTACGCGCGGGTAGGTACCACCGCCCTGCCTATTTCTACCGTGAAACAGTAATGCGTTTCGGTTTGAAGGGTGGGCAGACGTTGTAACTATATTGAGATCTTAGAACCTATATCTCAAGATGGGTGACGTATTTACGTTGTAGATGTCCATGGGCTCCAGTAACCATTTAACACCAGGTGGGCTGTGAGCTCGTCCACCCATCTAAGCAATAGAAAAAAAACTGAAAATTCAGTGTTTAATTCACCGTGTCTTATTTGCTTGCTTGGCTGATAAATACCGATGATATAATAAGTACAACTCATGATAAAGATCAACTCAATTAGGTATAGGTACTATGTCCATTAATGTACGACAATGTACGACACATTGTTAATGGTTATATCATTGTATAGGTACCCGATTTCGATGTTGTTTTAATCGAAAAATGTTTTTATTGTGTTCTCCGGGAAGTATAAATTAAAGCACAAAATATAATTCAAATAAGAAATCGTAAATCTATATATTAATACGTGAAGCAAAAACTTTGTATCCCTTTTTACGAAAATTGCGCGAACGGAGGAGTATGAAAATTTCCACACTTATAGAGAATATAGAGAAGAAGTGCACAATGCTAATATTTTTTTAAAATAATGCATAACAGATACATTAAATCAATAAAGAAAACATTACACACACTACATACCGTGTATTTGAGACGCACACACGCATGCATACTATTTATTGTCAAACTTTTGTTCTTGACGTCTGTTGTCAAATTGAGAAAAGATTAAATACTGTTTGTATTTGTTAATATTTTTTTATAGTGTAGTCTTGGCGAAATTTGTGATTACAGAAGTATAAAATACAATCATAATAGTGTACAAACTTACAATTCCAATCAATTATAGTCGAATTTCGACTACTGCAGGACCTCTAGTTTTGAGAATTAATCATGTTATTCCTCATAGAACCATCAGTAGGTGAAAACCTTGATTATTGCTCAAAGCCATATTCTAAGAGAAGAGCTAGGGAGTCCGGACCCCTATATTTAGTGTGCGAGACAAAAGCTATATCGCTCTGATTGAGAGCAATCCAATTCGGCTGTAAAACGTGCTTGAAGCAAAAAAGGTTCTAGTTTCAACCGAAGATAACTAGCAGTTTTGTAAATGGTAACAAATAACTAACTGGTGAAGTAAAACGGCCTATCAAAAATAAAGTCCAAAACCGAAGTCTGGGGAAGTACTAATATATTTTTTTTATTGCTTATATGGTTGGACGAGCTCACAGCCCACCTGGTGTTAAGTGGTTTCTGGAGCCCATAGACATCCACAACGTAAATGCGCCACCCACCCCGAGACAAGTTTAAGGTCTCAAGTATAGTTACAACGGCTGCCCCACCCTTCAAACCGAAACCCATTACTGCTTCACGGCAGAAATAGGCGAGGCGGTGGTACCTACCCGTGCGGACTCACAAGAGGTCCTACCACCAGTAAAAAATCTGCTGGACTTCTTTGATATGAAATCCTTAAATAGTACCGTGTCGGATTAAGTGAATGGAAGAGGTAGAAACTTGTAGCGGCCTAATGAAACACTAGACAGGAGCATGGTAGCTTTTGTCTTATTGATTGTTCCTTACAGATAATACACTATAGTTAGCCACACGTCGATTTTGACGATGCCTGAATTTGGGTAACATTGTAATCATGTAGAGTGTAGACCAGCGATTAGATAACATTATCGCCGACTTGTCCGGTTACAATGACGTTTATTGGATTCCGTTCTATAATAGATTTCGAGTTTGCGTCATCGGGATATTTTGCAAAAAAAACTAGGGCATTTTTTACCAACATAATATAATATTTATCAAAGTTGAAAAGTGTGATTCACTTGAAAACTGCACACGTTATCAAGGTACGATGAAAATAACAAACAATTATTACTTGGTCCTAATATCCAAACTTTGTACTGTAAAAACTGACACCTTAGAACTTAACTCAAGGTTTTTACGTTGTACATATCTAAACAAACAACTGTGATCACTAACTATATACATATATATACATATATTTTTTATTGCTTTGGTTGGTGAACGAGCTCACGGTCTTCCTGATTTTAAGTGGTTACCGGAGCCCATAGACATCTATAAAGTAAATGCCGCCACCTTGCGATGTGAGTTCTAAAGTTTCAGTATAGTACAACGGCAACCGCACCTTTCAAACCGAAACGCATTACTGCTTCACGGCAGAAATAGGAAGGGTTGTGATACCTACCCATGCGGACTCATGAGAGGTCCTACCGCCAATAATAAAATTAGTAGTAAAAGTAATATTACCCTAGTGATCCTTTGTGGTTTTTCATCGTAGGGTATTTATTCTTAACACTGTACTTATTTTAGTATTCCTGGTCATTATGTCGATAGCTGAAAGACCTACGTCGTGTATTCAGATAATTTAATTTGGCCCACAGCTTTAGGACCGGTTTAGCTATCTGTCAGACATCCTATTTACTTGGGTTTGCTAAGCCTTGGATAGGTTTAGGGTAGGAAGTAGAAAAGGAAGTGGTTGGAGGATTGGACTAGAATATATGGAAATAATACCACTATTACGGATAATTAATGTAGTGAAGACTTCGGTCGCATGTCTCCTGTCTTCAAACCGGACTGATGAATAAGGCCTAACAAAGAAGCACCCACACAGTTAAAACACATTTTTTTTTCGCTTTTGTTTTAGTGTCATCCGTGAACAGTATTGGACATGTTCGCGGTGGCCACAGACGCAAAGAGTGATCCTCGCCGCAGCAGGAGGGGTCCTGCTCGGAGCCATCATAGGCTTGATCGTCACAATGACTTTAAGAGACAAAGAAGACAATGTCATCGGAGGAATATTCCGGCACTCTACACCTGACTAAAGCTTTAACTCTTAAATCTTCTCTAGAGATGAACTGATGTTTGTGTAAATAATGTTTAATATTAAGATATAGCACGAGTAACTACGATTAGTTTTAGTGAGTATTCACAAGTGCTTGTGGGTGATAATTTATGAGCAATATGTAAAAGTTGACTAGGTAGGTGCCAATAATTGAAAGACATATTGTGATTACGTGATTTCTACGTCTTAACTGAAGTTAAGGATATTTTGACTGTCGGATAAATCACGCAATGAAGAAAAAGGCGTGGCAATAATGCACTATATTAGGATATTTTAATCCTTGCGTCCGTCAATTGCCTGTCAAAGTCAACATTCCAGTAATAATCAGTAAAAAAAGAGAATGTGTTTTGCATGCGTTCTAATTCACGACATATAGTCGAACTTTTTTTTTTTCTTCTTCCAGTGCCTCTTCAATCCTGAAGGTTGGCCGTTAGCTTTCTATATTCGTTTTTATCTGCAGCCAGCCGGAACAGCTGTTCGACGGAGGCAATACCGGTCCACTCCCGGATATTCCGGAGCCATGATTTCTTTCTTCGCCCAGCACGTCTCTTTCCGTCCACTTTGCCCATAATTATCAGCTGGAGCAGCATGTATCGATCGTTCCTGAGCACGTGGCCGAGATACTCTATCTTGCGCTTTTTGATAGCAGGCAGCATTTTCCGGGACATATGAACGCGCTGAAGCACGGTTTCGTTCCTGACCCTCTGCGTCCAACCAATGCGTAACATGCGACGGTAGCACCACATCTCGAATGCCTGTAGGCGTCTTGTAGTGTCCTCTTTCAGGGTCCACGTTTCGCAACCATACATGACGATAGGCCAGATATAGCACATGAGTAGCCTGACTCGGAGCTTTATATTCAGTTGACGACAGCAAAGAACTTTCCTCATTTTATTAAAAGAGGCTCGAGCAGTTTCTATCCGGGTCTTGATTTCTTGATCAGATTCCCATGCTTCGTTTACCCAAGCCCCTAAATACTTGTACTGTCGTACCCGCTCTAGTTGTTTCCCAGCTACAGATACGCTTGAACTCAAATCCGGGTTTCTTGAGACTACCATGAACTTGGTCTTGCTTATGTTTATCGACAACCCGGCTTCTTCGCTGCACTCATTAACCTTATTCACAATTGCTTGCAAATCGGCTTCCGATGCTGCAATAAGGATAGTGTCGTCCGCATAACGCAAGTTGTTAACGACCCTGCCGTTGATTCTTATTCCCACTTCAAGATTTTCAAGAGCTTTTGACATCACAGCCTCTGAGTAGATGTTAAAAAGCAACGGGGATAAGACACACCCCTGCCGGACCCCACGACAGATCTCAACTTGGTCGGTTACAAACATAGTCGAACTACAAAAGGTAAACTTAATTGTTGAACTGGCAAAAAAAAGCCAGCATGCTTATTTACAATTTCAAAGTCCACTGCTGCATATATCTTGTAAATGTTTCTGCCAGATTAGATCAGATATTTTGAGTTATATATACATCAGTCGAAAATGATAAGGATTTGTATGTACAAAAAATCTTTCAATTGTTATTGTACAATACTTTCCACTTCGCTCTCGTAAATATTATTAAAAGTATTTGAAAAGCAAATAAGGAAATAGATATTAAAATATATATATTTTGTTTTTTAGAATAATAAGCTACATATTTATCAATGTTTTAAGGTATTGTTTTTGGATGTTGTTGCCGATGCACAAACCAGTTTCAATTCTTTCATAAAGTCGAGTTTAAGATTCGGTTTCATGATATTATTTTCTAGTTGTCTCTAATTGGTCATTTTAAGTGATAAAGTTTTTAGATTTATCTAATATTTTACGAGCTTCAGTGTGATCCCTCCTCGTATTTAACTGAGTTTGTGTGAGTGGCTAATCGAAAATATATCAAAAGATTTTTCTTGCTGTGTCTGTATTTAGATAAACCTTGCGGCTCTCCCGATCATAAGCGCTAAACTGATTCTTAAAGCGAATGACATCGTCGGTCATAAGACGAGATTGAAGTATTCTATAATAATTGTGGTATTTCAGAAAATTTATAGAATACAATTGAGATTTCGGCCCCAGGCCTCAAGATGTACACTCAACCAGGTTTACCGAGAATTCATCTATCCATATTTACCAATAAATTTTTATTTATTTATTGTTAACATAGAAATAGAAAAACAATCATAATTTGCATCTGTGCTTGAACTAGGTGGTAAAACCTGTATCTCAAGCAGCAGTGTTCCTCTTACAAACAATACAACAGCTTTACTTCAGATAAATAAAGGATGTATTGAGAGCAGCCCGTGTTCATGTATGTATATAAATTTAGTTTACTTATGTAATACAATAATGAATATTGTACAGAATAGTATTACTAATTAGATAAATTTTTAATTAACACAAGTGTCAGACATTTGTGTTTTCTAATACATTCGCAATGCTGATATAATAATAATTGGAAAATTCACCAGATAATAAAATTAAATTAAAATGCTTTATCTTACTAATCCAACTGTATTCTTTCTTACTGTATTGTTTCTTACTTTATTGTTTTTGGTAAATATAATAGAATTTATTTGATAGTTAAAAATTGTACATTAAATTTAAAATATCAATATTTTTAAATTTAAGGGGGGAGGGTGGATTTGTGAAGTCTATGGGCTCCGGTAACCACTTAAAACTTGGTAGGCCGTGGCCTCGATCCCCAAATAGGCTTTTTTACTTTTAAAATAATAAAACTGATAAACTAATTACCAATAAAAATACTAATTTAAAAATAGTCAATTTTTTACTGCTGTTGTATACAAACGAGCTAAGGGTGATGGTAAATAGTTACCGTTGGCTATTAATTTCAGGTCCGCAATAAACAAAATCACGTCGCTACCTATAACTGAAGACCTTTCTTAAACCTCTTTTAAAGGATATTTGTCTCAAAACTTAATTCTAATATACAAAAACATGGTTGCTTCTTTGACGATTAACAAAAACACACAATTTTACTCGGTGAACACCAATGTTTTATAGATATTTTCATATATTATACAAAATTATTCAAAAATAAAGCTGTACATGACTTTCCTAATATAAATCGTAAGTAACAATAGAATAGTTTGAAGACAACAAAATTTGAATTTTTTTGTATCGTAGTTTTATCCGAAAATATTGACGATAAGTGTAATCCAAAGTTTTTATGATAAGTTCTGGTGACATCCACTGGTTATCAGAAAGAATATTGATAAGCGATAGAGCCGTCTGTGTATTGAAATAAGTGGGGTTTTTTTTATTTTTTATTATTGCTTAGATGGATGGACGAGATCACAGCCCACCTGATGTTAAGTGGTTACTGGAGCCCATAGACATCTACAACGTAAATGCGCCACCCACCTCGAGATATAAGTTCTAAGGTCTCAGTATAGTTACAACGGCTACCCCACTCATCAAACTGAAACGCATTACTGCTTCACGGCGGAAATAGGCGGGGTGGTGGTACCTACCCGTGCGGACTCACAAGAGGTCCTACCACCAGTGATGTTTTTATTCAATTTCATTGTTTGAATTCAACTATCAGTTGATTGGGGGTTCGTTTTATTGAATCGAATTAATACGAAAGGAGATTGCTTGGTACAATCGCGAACCGTTTATTTGACTGACTTAGTGGTGCAGCTTCTTTATTTCCTACCTAAGCTCAGAGCCTTGAGAGGCTATTTCAGCTTAACCTTAACTAGTAGGTGAGCTCACGGGGCTCAAGCCTGATGACGTTGCTAACACGAACCCTAGCAAGAGCCGTGCTTCGCAGAATCTACCACCGGATCGGAAACTGAGAAGATCCGGCGAGAAACTCTGTGGGCTGTGTCTGAGGGTTAATTTACCCTTCGTCGAGCCCTTCGCCGCAAGCGACAGGTTCGACGAGAACGATGACCGGTGCTTGAGGTACCTAAAAGCACCGTTAGTGGATCGGGAGGATCCGAAATGACGTGTTTGAGGCGACGTCAACTGCTTTCCAATCTGTCCGCAGGATCGGGAATGTAGTTACCGGCGGCCACGATGAGAGGGTTCTCGTGTCCTGCCGCTTTATCGAAGTGGGTGCAGCAGTGAGCGCCCTTGACTATTACGCCGAGGGTCGTGGGTTTGATTCCCACATCAGGCAAATATTTGTGCGCTGAACAGGTTTATTTCCTCTTTGTCTGGATGTTCGTTATCTATATATACTCTACACTCCCCTCCTACACACATCGTCTTTCACGCAATCCATCTATTTCTTCTTAGGTCTTTACTGGTGGTAGGACCTCTTGTGACTCCACGCGGGTGGGTACCACCACCCTGCCTATTTCTGCCGTGAAGCAATAATGCGTTTTGGTTTGAAGGGTAGGGCAGTCGTTGTAACTATACTTGAGACCTTAGAACTTATATCTCAAAGTGGGTGGCGCATTTACGTTGTGGATGTCTATCGGCTCCAGTAACCACTTAACACCAGGTGGGCTGTGACCTCGTCCGCCCATCTAAGCAATAAAAAAAAAAGTGTGTGTGTCCGCTCCGACGCACGACTGGAGTTTACTGGATATAAAAAATTAAACGAAACAATACGAGAAATAGTTCTATATTACGACAACACGATACACTACAGATTATTAACAAATTAACGAGACACAAAACAAACGACTAACAAATATATGAAAATACAATAATGAGAGAAACGCGCGATCAGTACGAGGCTTTGTGGCGGACTGCCGGCGCAGCAGCCCGGCGTCACCTGCGATAACGCGGCCGCGCGTTGGCTCCTGATTGGCGCGCGCACGCATCACGCAATCAGGAGCCAATCAGGCGCATAACGCATTTCGTGTGACATGCTAGTACGATTTTGGTCCCCATAATTTTCATACCCCGGGCCTATATATGTAAATCGATTCTTAAGGAGTAAACTCCAATAAAGTCTACTTTTATCTCTATATCCTTCCACATCCATAGTTAACACTCTCTTACCAACCTCATTTTCATTTCGTCCCATCACATGTCCATAACATCCCAAACGCGCATTTCTCAACCTCTCTGTCATAGGTGCCACTTTCAGACTTCCTCTAACATATACCAGTATCTAATTAATATCCGTATTATCATTAAGATCTTCGGAACCCTTATAGTGCATTTGCCTGTCCAGTATTATCGCTGAAGACAAAGTGTATTGCCGTTTACATAAAATAACTGAATCTTTAACTAAAGTAACGTATGGCCGCATTATAGAAGAACACTATGGCCCTTTGAAATCTCTCGGTCGGAGATAGGGAGACTTACTTAGCGCTTTATCGCTCACTTAATGGCTTTCAAAAGCGAATTTCGATTTTAGAAAAGATCTTGATGCTTGATAAGGCTTTAATTGTGCGTTAATTTTACACATTTTATAGTTCTCTTTTGTTCGCCTTAGCTCGCAAATTCGTTTGTCGAACAATAATATACACATAAATACAAATAGTTCCCGTGATTAGTCATCATTATCATCATCATTATCCTGCCCTTCTCCCAGTCACCTGGGGTTGGCGCAACATGTTTTCTCCTTCCATACTCTTCTATCATATACCATTTCTTCGCTCACTCCCCTCCTACCCATATCGTCTTTCACACAATCCATCCATTTCTTCTTAGGTCTACCTCTTCCTCTAAATCCTTCCACATTCATAGTTAACACTCTCTTAACAACCTAATTTTCATTCCGTCTCATCACATGTCCATACCATCCCACACGTGCACTCCTCAGCTTCTCTGTCACAGGTGCCACTTTCAGACTTCCTCTAACATATTCATTCCGTATTCTATCCATTCTCGTTACTCCACATATCCATCGCAACATTCGCATCTCTGCTGCATGCAATCGCCTTTCATCCGCCACTTTCGTTGTCCAACAAGCTGATCCATACAAGACTAGTATAGTATAGTAACAAATTACAGAAGAAAAAAAAACTAAGTTAAAAGTAAATTTTGACAAATAATTTAATCGTAAGCGCGCACGAGTATTACCGCCCTATACATTACGTGCTGCAAAGCATCCATTCATTGTGATTTGGTCTGACAGTCATAGGGAAGTCAACATGACTATATATAATACTATTTTTATATAGAAATACCCTCTTATTAATAAAGCTTTAACCAAGTTAAAACACTCCACATTCGAGCTCACAATACAACTGAGACAACGACCTCACGTCTCAAGGTGGTTGGTAGCATCCGCGTTGTGATAGAAATGGGCTCAGTGTGCTTAGTGCGAGTTTTTTAACGTTCTCGATAACGTAAAAGTTAACTGAATTTTGTATGGAGTTGGAATGTTTACCTACGTTTGCCGCTAGGGACGCTGTTTCAACTGCATACAAATATGAGCTAACTTTTACGCTATCGAGTACGTTAAAAAATTCGCACTAAAAACACACTGACTACCTCTTGATGTTAGTCGGTTCCGGAGCTCTCCTGACAATCTAGAGCTCAGTCAGGCTCGTATTAAATACCATTTAAAAATAATAATAACACTTGAAAACATTTAGGAAGTTTATTTATAATCGTCCCGTGCACAAGGCGATTTATCGTTTGACCACGCGCGATAAACTTCCATTGTTCTTTATAAATTATAACTTATGTAGTCTATTGTAGTCTCAAAATAGTAAACAAATTATATTTTAAGGCTGTACCACGGTCCGTTGGTGTTCTGTGGAGGAGCCTGTGGGTATCACAATGTGAATATTTCCATCCACCTTGAGACAAGAGTTCTGTTTCATTTTTCAATAAAACGGCTGCCAAATCAAGGTATTATGATGCAGTATGATAGCAACCGTTCGTGAAGACATGTTGGTATATATTTTTTTACTACGCAAAATTTCATATCTAGCCGTATTTAAAAAGTTTTACATATTATCACGCCATCTTGAAAATAATATTTTAGCTACAATTATTACGATAACAAAATATGTGTTTCAAAATGTCACCATAAACATATTGTATTAATACAGAATCATTTTGTGAAACATTATTATGGCTTTCGACGCGTCCACGCATAACCTTAACAAATTAGTTTCACATTCACATTTCTGTTTTATTACTGTTCTTAAATTAATTCTATACGTGATTATTTTGTTCCAGTCATGTCTCATTGAGCTATGAGATTTATATTTGAGTGAACGTTTTATTTTAAAGGAAAAAAAAGTTGGCGCCAAAATAAATATGTTACAGCGCCATCTATCGTCGAATGGAAATACTAAGGTGCATCTACTATTTTTAAAATGCGGCAATATTTAACGATTATAATGTATGCTAGTTCTTCTGAGACTTTTATCGAAGGTTGGATAATTGTATGACTAGGCACTATAGGTTTTATGGGTTTTCTATAGGACTACGTTCATTCTAGATGTTCTATATAGCTTGGCAACTCCCGTTCTGAGCAAGAGTGTGTTAATTTCTAAAATTATAAAAGAAAAAAATTGTGCGTGCGGGGGGCACCGCGTTATGGTCGCTTAATAAATATATAACTGTATTGTAGTAGAGCGTATTATCCTGCACGTGTACGCCCATCATTATCCTTATTTCTGCCGCGTGTACTGAAATGTCCGACTTGAAGGGTGGGAGAGTTTTACAATTGAGATATGAAGAAACAAATATGTAGAGCGACGAAAACAAATCTGATCAAAATTGGTGCTCGTGGTATTAAAATCGTCAAAAAAACTACTTCTTCACATCTACGGATAAAGCCTTTGGAATGTACTATATTACTGCTGCATACCAGATCTCATAGCTTTAACCAGACAACAATATTGTATGACTGAGTCATTGTTGAGCAGAGCGAACTTCTATTGCACGATAGGAAGTGGTTTTCTTTAAGCGACCCCAGTTGTAAGGTCACGGTCATTGTGTGGGCGAGTCTCGGCTTAGACAAGTCTCACATGGGCGAGTCTCTTCATCGAACAATGTCTCGAAGGCTTAATTTGTTTATTATTTACCAAGCTATCAATCTTTGCCGTAATGCAGTCGAGCTTTTCAGTCGGAAAGCTGTTACTTGAATTTGATTGAAACATTGAGTTTAGGTTTCCGGCGTTAACACAGGTGTGAATGGGCTCCCCGAAAGCTTAGTCAAAAGCCTGTCTACACCAGACACCAACAGAATCCAAATAATTTTTTAACAGACTATTGTGGTTCTGCTTATTTCAAATGAAGATAACCATTCTTGAATAAAAGTGAAGGTAACAACGGTCATTCACCTTGCAAGAGTCCGTAACACGTGTTTTTCGAAAATCTCTACGTGCAGGTGCAGGTCTGATGGTGACAATTAAAAACACCGCCCAATTTTATACGAATCTTCCCAGAGAATTTTCATAAATCTAATAATTTACTTTACTTTATCGATTATCCGACTCACTACACATCAAAAATATATTACGCACATGCCTATTATCCACGCATATCTCTGATTCAGTAATTATATGCACATTTTTCTAATTGAACTAATGATTCATAATAAATTCAATTGGAGAAATTTAATCAAATTGTATCAAATACATCAATCAATAAATGAAATTTGTTGTAGCTTAAAAAAAATACACAGTAAAACACCAGCCTTATTAATTTAAATAAAAACAGTGAATTTTCGAAGCTTTCAACGACCAAATTACTAACCAAAAACCGTTCGACTAATTAAGAAAGACTAAGAGGTCCCGCAGTAGTCGAAATTCGACTATAATTAATTGGAATTGTAAGTTTGTACACTATTGTGATTGTATTTTATACTTCTATAATCACAAATTCCGCCAAGACTACATTATAAAAAATATTAATAAAGATAAACAATATTTAATCTATTCTCAATTTGACGACAGACGTCAGGAACAAAAGTTTGACAATAAATAGTATGCATGCGTGTTTGCGTCAAATGCATGGTATGTAGTGTGTGTAATGTTTTCTTTATTGATTTAATGTATCTCTTATACATTATTTGAAAAAAATATTAGCATTGTGCACTTCTTCTCTATATTCTCTATAAGTGTGGAAAATTTCATACTCCTCCGTCCGCGCAATTTTCGTAAAAAGGGATACAAAGTTTTTGCTTCACTTATTAATATTAAGAAAGATAAACGTTTTACTTACGTCTGGCAAAGTTGTGATTAACTCGACGTGCTTATACTGCTCGCCTGCAGCCAATGTAGGACTTTGCCACCAAGTTGAAGTGTCTCCGTCCAGTGCGTGTGATGGCGGATGTCTGCGGAAAGACGAGCCGTCCGGACCCTCGCAGATATCACATACGGTACCACGCCTGGATATTATATCATCTATGAGATTTACACTAACCACAGCAAGAAACAAACATAAAAATATACATATGTAAATATACTGGTGGTAGGAGCTCTTGTGAGTCCGCGCGAGTAGGTACCACCACCCTGCCTATTTCTGCCGTGAAGCAGTTATGCGTTTCGGTTTGAAGGGTAGGCCAGCCGTTGTAACTATACTTGAGACCTTAGAACTCATCCACCAACATCCACCAACATCTCAAGGTGGGTGGCCCATTTACGTTGTAGATGTCTAAGGGCTCCAGTAGCCACTTAACACCAGGTGGACTGTGGGCTCGTCCACCCATCTAAGTAATAAAAAAAAATATATATATATAGCCCAACCTCCGCTGTGCACAACAGTCGGTAAATTACTTCGATCTGTATTCGAGAATAAAGAATCAAAAATATTTGACATACGAGATATGCAAGCTTACAAAAGCGAGCGGAGTCATAGAAACGAAAGTACACAAAGCACGACTGAGCTTTTCCATAGTCAAATTACTTACTTTCCGGGCGTGTCCCGACAATATTCTTCTTCCCCATCTTCTCCGCAAGTCGCGTTGGCCGCGATCACGGAATACGGCGCGACATCTAGCGGAGCGGGCAACAAGCCGCTAACCGCTGCGCTCGTGACCGTGTCCACATCACTCACGGTCGTGCTCGCGAGCCGGTCCAGCACCGCCCGGCCTACGACAAACCAAATTGCATAATGTTCAATTCTACTATTACATCAATACTTATCTACTTAATGCCAAACTCCTAATATACTTTTTTTTATTGCTTAGATGGGTAGACGAGCTCACAGCCCACCTGGTGTTAAGTGGTTACTGGAGCCCATGGACATCTACAACGTAAATGCGCCATCCACCTTGAGATATAAGTTCTAAGATCTCAGTATAGTTACAACGGCTGCCCCACCCTTCAAACCGAAACGCATTACTGCTTCACGGCAGAAATAGGCAGGACGGTGGTACCTACCCGCGCGGACTCACAAGAGGTCCTACCACCAGTAATTTATTAGTATTTAGTAGTGGTTATTAGTTTGGATCTCCAATGAGTGCTTAGAGCCCATTTCTGCCGCAAAGTATTTCGGTTTGGTAAGTAGGCCCAAAGCCAGTTCAAAAATTAGGTATATTTGTTGACAGTGAGATCGATAATTTGAATTGAGTAGAGCGCGGCATTGTGAGTCAGACACAATTAATAATGTCATGTCGTGAAGTCCATGCTTTAGCGTTATCTATAGTCTCAAGTGCATCCAGATGTTACTGTCGCTTCTTTGTTATTGTGATCTGAACCTTCACAAACAGTATTATGCACTATGCGGCTAAAGTCCAATGTAGTGTATATTATGCACTGTACTGTTTCCTGGTGTTGCATCTTTCAAACACATGAAATTGCTTCGTGGCGAAAAATAGTAGGAAAAGGGTACCACCCCGTGTGAATACACAATCTTTGTCACCGGCAATTACGCTAATTTATAGTTACTAGTTGTCGCCCGGTAGTCGAAATTCGTCTATAATAAATTTAAATTATAAGTTTGAAAATTGTTAAGGGTCTATTCTCAAAGACTATCATAGACCTCTATAATAACAAATTTCGCCAGGGATACACTATAGATAAAAATATTAAGTGTATTATTATCTATGAATAAGATTGAAGACAAACAATATTAATATAATCTCAATTTGACCACAGACTTTAACAATAAACAAAAGAGTATATTATTATATGCGTGTGTTTGAAATACGTGGTAGTGTGTGTAATGTTTTTAAGCCATTGACTAGCTTCTATCGTGGGCTTGAGCGCGGCGACTGAATCAAGAAATTCCATAACGAAAAGCTTGTGTTCAACACATTCACACGTTGCGCTGGTGTAGTGTTTGTGAATAAGCGCGTGGCGTGACGTCGCACTGCATGAGCATCATGAAAAGTCTGTCTGAAATAAAAGTTTTGAAATGATTCATTTTGCGCTGAAAATAATGTTGATACACATAATACATTAACATTATGAGGACAGTTGGTCTAGTAACTTGAATGACAAACATGTGCGTTGTAATAAAATCACACCAGAATCGACAACATCCACGAAACTTCCGCACTTACAACACGAGGCGAATATTGGATTGGAGCATTTGGATGTCTTCTTTATGGCGTGGTCATCCGCTATGTTATGATGATATAAATTGAATGAAGTATTTTAGGAATTCTTCCTTAGCCATTCGAAACGTTTGATACAGTCGTCATCGTGGGCTAAAGGATAAGACGTCCGATGCATTCGTATCTAGTGATGCAACGGTGTTCGAACCCCGCAGGCGTGTACACATTTTCCTAATGAAATACGTACTCAACAAATGTCCACGATTGACTTCCACGGTGAAGGAATAACATCGTGTAATAAAAATCAAACCCGCAAAATTATAATTTGCGTAATTACTGGTGGTAGGACCTCTTGTGAGTCCGCACCGGGTAAGTACCACTACCCCGCCTATTTCTGCCGTGAAGCAGTAATTTCCAGTTACATTATTCACATTAGATACATACATATTATATACTTTTTTGGCGTTAGCTATTTTTACTATCTTCTGTGTTTTTCTAAAGATCATTTTCATCACGCACTACGCGGCCCGGTAATGAGAAAGCCCACTGAGTTTCTCGCCGGATCTTCTCAGTGGGTCGCGTTCCCGATCCGGTGGTAGATTCATTTTTTTTTTTTTTTTTATTTTTTATTGCTTAGCTGTGTGGACGAGCTCACAGCCCACCTGGTGTTAAGTGGTTACTGGAGCCCATAGACATCTACAANCTTTTTTTTTTATTTTTTATTGCTTAGCTGAGTGGACGAGCTCACAGCCCACCTGGTGTTAAGTGGTTACTGGAGCCCATAGACATCTACAACGTAAATGCGCCACCCACCTTGAGATATAAGTTCTAAGGTCTCAATTATAGTTACAACGGCTGCCCCACCCTTCAAACCGAAACGCATTACTGCTTCACGGCAGAAATAGGCAGGGTGGTGGTACCTACCCGTGCGGACTCACACGGATTCTGCGAAGGACGGCTCTTGCTAGGGCTAGTGTTAGTAAATTCCCCCGACTGAGCTCCGCGAGCTCACCTACTCGCTCGATGAACCTAATATAACCCCTTGAGGTTACTAGAATATGTAGGCAAAAAAAAATGGTAATGAACATCCGGTCCTTCTTCAAACGGCGACATAAAAAGCTCTTTAGGGTACGCAGCGGCATGACTATGCGCCTGGCGGCTACCAACGCCCATTCGAGACGCTGACAACTTACCACAAAATGGGTCATGGATGGTAATAAAAAGTTCAAACAAATAAATTTATTACTTTTGTTCATAGTTAGCCCGTCGTAAGAAAGCAGGGCCGCAATTACCAAAAGATCGAATAAATAAAAAGTTCAAACCCATTAATTTTAAGACGAAAAAAGTATGTTACAGAGGAATTATGAAATTAATCTCCTTTGCCTTCATTCCCATCAAGAAAATTTGTAATTTACTTGGAATCTTGTTAAGAGATAATTTAAACATTAATCATTGGACTTTACAGGGGCGTACTCGGTTAATATTTTGGGAGTGTGTGAGGACTCCTTGTGACGCCTATCGCATTATTAACATTTTTAATCACTATAGTCAGATATCATAACGTGCTAGAATTATGTACACAATAAAATAACTTACGAAAAGCAAAAAAACGAAGTATTCCTTTTCGTATTCTCAGAAATTGATACAGGTGGGGGAACTTCCCGATAAATATGCCACTTTGAAATTTCAAGTGTCCTTAATCAAATAAGTAATACCGGGAAGATGCGATTTTGTTCAAATCTTACGATAAATTTCCATATTTCTCGGTAAATACGAACTCTACACGCGTTCACGAGTGATTTTGAAGTGGGTAATTAAAATCGTAAAATATTATAAATTTACGTCAATTGATTGTATAGCATCGCCAGCTCGGATAACAACCCCATTTAAATAACATAATAGTTTTCATTGAGTCATTTTAGAACACCCTGTATAAGATGTCGTGAGAGCCATAAGTGTGACTCACAAAATTTAGCCCGAGTGCGTCTCTGGGTCACTTTAATCGTCCCACTAAACAAACGCACATTTGTATGTAAACAACTTACATAAAGTATTTCCTGTGCGCTCGGCCGTTTCCTGGCGTTATTACATACATTTAGAAACATGATCACTGGACGCTCTCTTCACTTAGTGCCATCACTTAAGCAAGGGGTGTTATAGGACTTGGAATTACGCACGTTTAACTCGACTACCGAGCTAGCTAACTGTACTTATTAATTAAGAAACACGATTTAAAATAATTACAGTATTTACGTTTCTTTCATTACGGAAGATCTTACCGCTGGTAGGACGTGTTTAGCCTACTACCTGTACCTACAGTACTTACAGTACCTACAGTACCTTTGTTATGGCACGATGCAATCATGTCCTATAACATGTCCTTCTTCAAACGAGGCTTGTGGAGCGTATTAAGCGGTAGGCAGCGGCTTGGCTCTGCCCCTGGCACTGCTGAAGTCCATGGGCGACGGTAACCACTCACGGTCAGGCCGTATGGTCTGACTACAAGGGCAATAAATGAAAATGCAATTTTTCTCTCAAGCGTAGGGTAGGTTGCTTCGAAATAGGGGAGGTGTTCTCATTGTAGTGTAGGTACATGTACTTTAGAAAAATCTTAATACCAGGTACGCTATGAGCTCGTTTACACAAATAGTGCAATAAAAGAAAACTTCGTTAGAATTTCGGTCGAGTGCTTTGGTTGGAAGGTTGATTGGGAAGACTGAAGAGAAGATGCGGAAGCGGTGATAGCATTCCGAATCATGTCCTCGTATCTTCTGATTAATCTTCCAACCACAAATTAAAAGTTAAAAGAAACCAAAATCCAAACTGAGTTTCTCAAGCCAAACTGCTGAGCACGGTGGTCTCTTTTTCATATAAATTCCAGAAAACAATTCAAACGTTAAAGTTCAATTATCACTACAACCCTTTGCTTCACCTGTACTATTTATATAGAGATCAGAACCTATAGAGCCGTACAAACAAATAAGTTTCTAAAAAGTATCTACATTATAATAATACTATTTTCTCGTCTGTTTCTCAATCGATCTTTTTAGTGTAGCTATTGGCGAGCTTTGGTACTATTAATAAAATTTTGGTAAAGTTTTTTTTCTCCGCACTTATACTCGATAAAATTTCAATTAGAAATAAAAATGGATTTACTTTATATGTATTTATAATTACTAGAGGTCCCGCAGTAGTCGAAATTCGACTATAATTAATTGGAATTGTAAGTTTGTACACTATTATGATTGTATTTTATACTTCTATAATCAAAAATTTCGCCAAGACTACACTTTAAAAATATTAACAAAGGACAAACAATATTTAATCTATTCTCAATTTGACAACAGACGCTAAGAACAAAAGTTTGACAATAAATAGTATGCATGCGTGTGTGCGTCAAATACATGGTATGTAGTGTGTGTAATATTTTCTTTATTGATTTAATGTATCTTTTATGCATTATTTAAAAAAAATATTAGCATTGGGCACTTCTTCTCTCTATTCTCTATAAGTGTGGAAAATTTCATACTCCTCCATCCGCGCAATTTTCGTAAAAAGGGATACAAAGTTTTTGCTTCACGTATTAATATA